CTCAGCAAACCCCTCGCTGCTCAGCCCAGGAGATGCTGCAAACCGGCAGTGCCCGTACCTGGGTTTCTACTTCTCCTTGTCCACAGATTCAGAAGAACATTCTTGAAAGATTAGAAGTTGAGGGTGGAAATCTAGACAGTGGTAGGAGGCCCCAGATAGTATGCTAACTTCAACTAAATGAGTGCTGAGCAGAATATTAAGGTGGGAGGTAACCTTTGTGCTGAAGGATCTTAAATATCCCCAAAGTCTTATGTATTGAAGGCTTGGCCACAGCCTATGGTGCTGCTGGATGGTGGTAGAACCTTGAGGAGACGGGACATCCTTGGAGGAAGCTGGTCGCTGGGGGCACGTCCTTGAAAGGATATGGGGACACCAAGGTGCATGTGCTCACCGTCTTTCTCCCTATCTCTTTATCTCTTCATCTCTATCTATTTGTGTTTCCTGGACTCCGTGAGGTAACAGGCCTCCTCTACCAAGGGCTCGTGCCATGATGTCCTATGTGCCACAAGCCCAACACAGCAGGGACGGCAAACACGGACTGAAACCTCCAAAACCATAAGTCAAAGGAAATCTCTTCTCCTTTTGAGTTGATTCCCTCAGGTGTTTTGTTATAGTGGCGGAAAGCGAACACACTTTGCAAGGTCGTGCATCAGAGGTTCAAATGTAGAAGTGAAGAAGAGTGAGAGAGGCACATTTTAGTTGCACCCCTGGACACTATCCCCAAATTGTTGCTACCATCCATGGTGCAGTAACCACACAGTCTGAGCAGAACTCAGTTTTAGGGGAGGTCCTGAGCAGAACCCCAGTTTTAGGGGAGGTCCCAACTGTTCTAAGCCACCTGGGGCAATCCTAACTGCCCCCCCACCCCCAACCATGGGCACGGGTAACTTAGGATATGGCAGTCAGCTTAAAATCCTAGACATTTGCTTGATGATTGCTAATGATACCCTCTTTCCAGGAGTGATGGTCAAAATATTTTATAACTTATCTAGGCCAGGCTCTGATTTACAGAACAAACCTGTGAATCAGAATAGGCCTGGCTCTAAACAATACCTTTTGTAATATGCTTAATGCCTGAAATAGCTCTGCTTCTCTCTCCATGGCTGTGAAGCATATGATTGGAGATGCCACTGGCAGCCTTTTTGTAATCATGAGGCAAGCCACCCTAAAGATTAAAAGGATTCCCAGAGAAAGTCTAAATCAAGAGAACTGTAGAGCCAGAGTCCTTGGTCAGACTGTGCCAAAGCCCACACTCCTTTATTGTTGAATCTTTGAGGTTTCTGCACTTTGTGATTGATGTGTTTTTCACCCTCTCAATTATCTTCTTACTTCACACATGGTTAAATGGCGGTCCAGAGCAGAGAAGGGCCCTGTCTAAATGCTTACAGCACCAGGACCTCAATCTTTTGTCTGTCCGACCAGTGCTCTTCTAATAAGCCATAAAACCTCTTCTACCACATTGTCTGCAGCCACAGGGACTCAATGAGTGCTTGTTGGATGAGTTAATTACTGAAGGAGAATAGGATCAGAGGGAAGTTCTGGCAGGGCCAGAGGATAAGCAAGGGTTTGGAGTGAGGGAGGGATGACACAAAAGCGGACAATGAGAAGAAATGCCCAAGAGCTTATTCTATTTCAGTCACATGAACATATTTGTACTACAAAAAGCTTCATTAAACCCCAGGCTTTCTGTGGATAAATCTCCGCTTGCTATTGGGTCCAGGAACAATAAATACCCCAAACACAGAAAGCTTTTTGAAGTTCATTATAAAAATGACTGAACGGGCTCCATGAAGATCTCAGAGTGCCAGATCTAATGGGCCTCGAGATTGGCGGGTGGAGGAGTGAATGGCAGTCTCAGTCCCGGGGCCATCACGCTTCTTAGGACAAGAGGATGGGACAGACTGTCACCGTGCAGGGAGCAAACACTGTCTTGCTAAACTTGTGAATACACAGGCATGTAAGGAGCTCCGGGCTCATTCCTGGGTTGAAAGAGCGGGATGTGCTGGCTGAGAGCCCTGGGTTCAAATCTGCACCTGCCCTGGAAGTTTCCTGGTTCTGGGCTAGGTTTGTTCTTTAAGGAAACTCAAGTTTTCCTTGTAGGTAAAAATGGAAATAATTCAGGGCCGCTGTGCTTTATCTTCGTACCAGATGTTTCAAAAGTCAGAAGTGTTAGATTTTAGAAAAGTTACCTGGTGCATGATATTAACACCCAGTGGGTTCTGGGGGGCACCCTGCAAACAAACACGTTGATCTTTCCGTAGGGAAGCATTCCCATATTTACCGTCCGTGGATGATGAAGACCAAACACAACCTCACCTCAGTTCTGTCCTCACTTGCTACCAAGCAAGTTATAAAAATCTTTTGGTTGTCAGAGCTTTGC